AGTGTCATAAGAGTGGGCGCATGGGAGCTTCGCTCGCTGCGCTCAAATTTATTCACAATTTTATTAACTTTTTTGTACATATTCAGTAAGTCTGAGAATGCGGTTGGTACTTTCAAACACCTAATTGATACCCTAGCACTTAGGGGTCAATATAATATGGAACCTAATAATTTTTTTTTTTTTTTTTATGTTTTGGATAAAATTTTCTTGGTGGCATTAAAAATACCTGTCACCCCTCTACGATCAACCCCTATTTTTTATTTGTTAATCAAAACTTATATGACTTGAACTCCGAGGTTTATATATATAGAGAAAAAAGACACAGAAAAACCTAAAAAGATTTCATTCCGGAAAACTGAACAATTCTGTAATTATTGCCATGTTGGTAAGTACTAAAAAGATAGGCTGAGTAAAATCACATTAAGAAGAAACTAAATTCGCGGGGGCAGCTTGTAATAATGTATAGAGAAGCTGCACCAAACAAAAAATATGTCGAAATTATTGAATTTGTGCGTATTAAGCGCTGGATTATTATACATTGTCTAACCATAGTGTTATAAAATACAGAGCTAGTATACTTTAATAGTCTTTGGTAATATGTATGATATAGATTCTAACAAGCCGATAGCCTATGAAATAGTTTTAATTACAATACAATTAGATTCTTTATTGTCGGCGCCACTGAATAGTAAGCAAAGCCTTTATTTTATAACTCTCTAAAATAAAACCAATAATTAAGTTATATTTTTTTATAAACGACGCGGTGTGTCAAGTTAGCTAATGCGATACATAGATGGTGCATTTTTAAATAAATTAAAAAAGAATTGTAATGAAATATACCTATTCACTATTAACTTAATTATTTAAGTTCCTACTCATAAAGCACCCGTTTGTAAATGATAATTGACAGTCTTATGGCGATATTCAGTTGGTTGAGAATAGACTTATTAGTTATTTTTGCAGTCCATGGTATATGCAACATTCTTCTTCAAAACATTTGACTGTGAATTGTCTTTAAAAATAGAAAATAGAAATAGACTACTTTTTTCAGAGCGAAAAGTTGAAGAAAAATTCAAGTTTATGAGCATATTTTTTTTATTTTCAAAAAAATCGTGAATAGCTTCATAACCATTGGTCGGTGATGGAAGCATTTGATCATATAATTTTTTTTTTATTATTTTTGTAAAAATTAAAACATACAACGTATTCAAAATGTACATATAAAAATAAACAAATAATACATCCGGCCTTGCCGAGCACACCAAGCTTCTTGAGGCTTTTTTAGCCTTTCCCTCCAAATGGCCGTCGTTAGATATGTTAATGCCCAATATTCCAATGCTGGCTGTGGCTTTCAGAAGATTGTCTTTTAAGAGAGGTGTATTGCAGTAGTTATCCTGCACTTCGGGACAATGCCAAGCGAGTTCAGGTACCGGAAAAGGCGCGTTAGGACCGGAGCCAACTTTGGAGCACAAGTACGCAGCAAAAAGCGGGGGTGCCATCAGACCCGCTTGACTTATAAATGTCCAAAGAAAATAGAGTATTGCGATCTGCCACTCTTTTTCCAGAAATATTATGACCTTAATGAAACCGAGATATATTATTGCCACTATTTATTTGTTTTGAAGCTGTCGCAATTATTTAATGATTATTTGGTAGACTTTCAATCTAAACTAAAACTTAAGTCTTTATGGTTGTTGCGATCTATTTCAGGAAACTAAAATTAGGTAAACGAGTATTACTAACATTGTGCACAAAATAATCTTCGTGTGTTTTTATGATAAAATGTTTTACAAAAATTGTGGAACAAATTACAGTTATATAGCAAAGGAAGTCAAAAATGAGAAAACATTAAAAAATCGTAATAGTGGTTTACGACATTGTTCCCCAGAGCAAGCGATTATTTTTATTATAAAAATAAATATTTCGAAAATGTTGACTATAGTGTGATGGCGCCACATCAGATATTAAATCAGAAACCTTTTTTGATTCAAACCTTGAAATAATTTAATTTAGGGAAAAGTTCAAGATTCAATTAATTCGAACTTTTGCTAAAACTTTTGTAAATTTAACATTTCGGATTCAAATCATGAAATCTTTAATACTTACCGCTAAATAGCATTGATACAAATCAGCGTTTGAAGTGTTAAGTCATAATCAATATCACATGCTACTTACTACTAGATGTCGCTGTCCACCAATTATGTAATAGCAAATTCTTGAATCAGAGGGAAGGGCAAAGGGGCGGCTGGTGTAAGCATGGCCGAGGCGGGAAAAGACTTGTTTAAAATATAAATTTGTACTGACATTATTTATTATTTGTAAATGTATAGTCCCGATGGTAGGTAATGTTAAAAAACTAAAAAAAAAAACAAAAATATTTATTGTTAATTAAACTAATTTAGCAAAAGAACTAACTATTAATAGCTACACTATAAAACACTACGTTCAAGAAAGTTTAGTAATCTATGATTTTTTATCGATATCTATGTTTTCAAGATCCTTCACCACATAACAGTCTTAAAGTACTTTGGAGATTTAACATATTATGGAGTAGCGATGAAAACATTTGAAGTTCATGGTGTTCATACACGCAAGCGTTATTTTTACTTGAAATCTATAATTTAAATAAAAACTCAACATCAACTGCTTTGTTTAATTTTATTGAAAAATTAATTTTCTTTACTTTTCGTTTCTACACTTTATCAACCTAACTTCTTTTTGACCAATAATTTTTGAGGCTTAGACACTGGAACATCTGTTTCATGTGATTTCTATTCTATGCGAATGGCATTGTAGAAAAATACAACGGACGTCAAAATATCGAAACCGTTCGGTCCCGTGAAAAATGTATCCTAATGCGATCTAGCGCTGTATCTTATAATACTATAGTTAGACAATGTATAATAATCCAGCGCTTAATATGCAAAAGTTTAATAATTACGACATATCGTAATTGTCGCAGAATAGTGACGGATCTGACAAATAGTAAACTTTACAGGGCAGCCATTTCAAATAATCATGTTAGTTTTTTGTCATAACATTCTTAATTCATATTCTGTAATTATGAAAATTGGCATACAAGCAAACAAAAGGGTTTGTTTTAAAACGTAATAAAAATAATAACATAAAATTAGACAGTTTTCTACAAAAATCACATGCGTCGTTTTACTTTGGAGCTAACACAGTCATATAGTATTATCCAACATTATTCTTCGGACATTATTCCTTGAAGGAAAGACGGAAGTTACTTTACCATCTTGTTCTATCAACTTATTGAGTAATATTTTGTCGGATATGTTATCTGTCATACTTTATTTTAACTGCGTGTAAGTAGTAGGTCTGTAAGTAACCAGATAAAGATGTTTAATAACAAACACATGGTCGTACTTTTTTTATTCTACGTGATATGCATCACGCTTTAATTAAGAATTTTTTATTAATAGTTTTCATTTATTACTATTATAGACTAAGTATAGTGTTAACTCTATGTGGATGGGATACATAAAATTTTTAGTAAACTATAGTTTTGGTAAATTACTAACTTAAAACTTAAACACTAATCATGTTTTATTAGCATAGCTTAAGTATCACAATCATTCTCATATCTATCATAAGTATATAATTACAAAAGAAACTACATTTATTAAAATGAATAAATTCTTAAAAATCACAACTTCCGAGATCAATATAATAAACAATAAAGCAAGTAAAAATATGAAGAAAAAGCAACCTTTTACAACATTCGGTCAGACTCATTGCCGTCTTAACATTACGTCCATGTGTTAAACTTCTGAAAAAGTTATGGTATTTCACAGGCATTATTGATGAACTGCATAGACTAAAAAGATCTTTATATTATCATTACTAATTAAAATTGGACCTTTGTAAGATTTGTCTAAGGCTGGAGTTTTGTAATTTCTAGTATTCTTTCTAAACACAAGGGTTCACGTTCATTCTTCAGATAAAGCATATTTGTATCGAATTTTACTGCTCTCAGTCCCCTCAACACAAACTTCATTTATGCCTGTCCAAGTAAGGCTGAATTTAGTCTCACGCTCACCGTCAGCGCTCATAGATCAGCGCGTAGTTCGTCAGCGCTGACGCTCAGCGTGGTTCGTTTTAGTATCGTACTGACCGCCTTACTGTACAGACGAAGACCAAAATGCGGAGTGTATTTGTTATTGCTGCTTTGTACAACCTATCTCAAAAAAATAAAAACCGGCGACGACGAAGACTCCATGTTTATCCATTGATTGAGCAGAGAGCCGTTGCAGGAGACTCTCCTAAAATATTTTCGAACAATGTGTCGACAATATCCTCCCAGGCTTTGTTTCTTGCATCTTTATTTTTGGAGAGTGGATCGGATGCATCCCACAATTTCTTCCTCAGGCGTACCTCGTCGATAACTCGACCTGTATCCACTTCGCGATTTGCCATGACTGTACACGCTGACGACGTCCGCTCCGTTCGACACTACAACGCTCACTGAAAGCAGAGGCGCTATAGCGATCGTCAGCGCTGACACTACGCGCCCGACCCAGCACCGACTCGACGCTGACCACCGTGCGCGCTTATAGCTACGCGTCATTCAAAAACGCTTTCTAGAAGTTCATATATCTCGACCATCAGCGCCGACGGTACGCGAGCGGTCGGCGTGACACTAAATTCAGCCTAACTGTGTTGTTAGCTGTATTTATAACCTAGTTCTTATTTTTTATCTGATCTTTAAAATCGAACACTAATGACTGATTTTCGGCTATATCTTCATAAGAATCACCCGCTTTAGCCCAACGTACAAGTAATTAGTAGTATGAAATCTATGTGTTATATTTATACAATATTCCTCTACAAACCTTTATTTTTGATGTATCTTTTGGCAAAATGACTTGTAAGTGAATTGACGATTATGCTTTAAAACTATTTGAAGACCCTTTTCTTTTGCTGTTTACAGTGTAAAACTTATCAAATGCATCCTGTCTTTCTTCAAGTGTTAACATAGGCTATCGTTTATTTTTATCCGCACAAGTCCTACCCATAGTTTTTTCTGGTACAAGAAGGTCCTTTTTGGAGGAGTATTCTTTTCCACCATTTGCTAAGCGCTTTCTATTAATGTTTTTCCAATCATCATTTTGGACACGTTTTTTTACCTCTACATCGAATAAGAGGCGCTGGAGACGACTGAAATGAATACACAACTGTCTTGATTGAGGGACAGTTGCTGTAGTCCGTATCGTCATCGTGAGTGGTACAAAAACTTCGTTACATGCTTTACGATAGGGTTTTGCTAGTGATAGCATAGGTGTTTGTCCGTTATTGACAACAGCCGGGGCAATCGATTGTGGGAAAGGTGGTAGATCTGATATCAAGGTATTTAAAGGACTTAAAGCTGAGCTGATATTTAAAGACACGGCATGCAGATTTTCTAAAGGGATTAAATTTGGTGAAGACGGATTTTGATATCCGACCATAAAGGATCTTCTCTAAGAAAACAAGTAGGGTGGTATGTTTGGGTTAATATTTTCATCTGTAATACTTTCGCTTATTCTGTGTAAATCGTCTGCAAAGACGTTCGCATAAATGTCTTTAATTGTTTCTATTACATGGCGTGCTCCTGGAGGTAATGTTGAATGGAAACGTATCAGTGTGTAAAAAGTATAATATAAATTCTTAATATCACAAGTCAAAGTTTACCCCTAAGGTGATTAATAAAAATATTCGAAACTACAGAAATAATTCAATTTACTTCTTTATATTTATACACGAACATTATTCCGGTAGGATTATTATTTTATATAAAAATATATTAAATATATAAAAATAATCATAGTTTTTCAGTAGAAAAACGTTGGAACTGAATTTAGTACAAAGAACAAAGTGGGATGGTCAGATACGACTATTACATAAAAGAGCATGTTCATTGAATAACGTAGGATTGTGACCACGCGTCACTATTATGTCCAAAGAAAAATGTAGTATAGTTACATACAACTTGAAAATTAAAACCTTTTTATATAATATGAACTCCACACATTAACGTATTATCAGATTAGGCCAACCTAATTTCTTTGCAAATGAAATTTTTAAATTGCTTTATAGTTTTGCGTAGTAAACTGACCGATAGTCAGTAACGATACTATAGTCATTGACTTTGGAATATTTCGTTACATAGAATAATGGCGCTTGCGTGGACACGTCGGGAGCAGGGGCAGCGGCCCGACGTACAGAGACGCGTAAGCACAAGCGTCATTTTTCTTTGAGGGTCTATCAAATCCGTCACTTTACTGACTGATTAATTTGAAGTTTAAAAGACATGGATTTTTTTTAATGTAGCCGTAAAATTTAGTTAATGTAGTATCCAAATATGATAAAAAGTGGATTTTGGATTCTTTGCAGATACGACATTGTTCTACGATCACGACGATATTTTTGTTTGGTATACATTATTATAGTAAGTACCTTGTTGTAAAAATATAACTATTTACGGTAGTTTAGGGATTCGCAAAATTCGCTTTACCAGCCTTTCTATCTTCTGTCTATAGTTCAGCAAATCTCATAAGTAAAATTTTAAGGGCATCCCCTTCAAACTTTGAGATTGCTGGCTTGGAAGAAGCTAGAAACGCTTTCTTAATTGCATGCCCAGGTCAAAATTTTCCATTATCTCTAAATTCACAGAGGAGCTGGGATGACATACACTGCAAAATGACTTTTGACGATCTTTTGAGTTGTAGTACAGGTTCGGCGCGTGCTAGGCTTTTGGCCGTGGGTACGCATGAGGCCGGCTACTGGCTTCACGCTCACCCTTTGTCTAATACAGGAACTTTTCTTGAGCCTGACACGCTTCGAATCGCAACCTGTCTACGGCTTGGGGTTCCGGTCTGCGCTCCTCATATATGTCCCTGTGGCAGTGATGTCGACAAGTTAGGACATCACGGCCTGTCATGCCAAAAAAGTGCAGGCCGCTTCTCGAGACATGCCGCACTTAACGATATCATACGCCGTTCCCTTGCCACCGTCAACGTGCCAAGTCTACTTGAGCCAGCCGAACCAGATGAGTTATTCCATGGAAGATGAGCGGGTACTGGTATGGGATACAACCTGTACAGACACCTGGCCCCTTCCCATCTACATGGAACCAACTACAGAGCTGGTGCGGCTTGTGAAGCGCCGCAAACGGGCTCAGAAGAGCTAGCTAGAGATTTTGTCCCATTCGGTGTCGAGACCCTTGGTCCGTGGGGTCCTAGCGCTTTAAGGCTTTTTTAAGAAATTTCAAAAAGGTTAGTCGACATCACAGGAGACCGAAGATCTGGCAGCTACCTCGGACAAAGAATTAGTCTAGCAATTCAAAGGGGGAACGCTGCCAATATCTTCGGAACCTTGCCTAAAGGGACTCCTTTTGATGATATATTTTAGTTTATGTTAAGTTTAGTTATTTATTTCAATGTATATTATTTTATTATTATATCTAGAGAATTAAATGTATGAATTAATAAAAAAAATAAAAAAAAATAACTAAATTATTTTTTAATATCTGAGAAACCTAAAAAAATAAATAAGAGTAAGTAATAAAGAGAGCTATGTTTTTAAAGTCAAGTTTTCTCGCAGCTCCCTTAAAATGTATTTACTAATATTATTACCTATATAATATTTTTATTTCAACCCAAGATCCTTTACGAAGGTTATATGACCAGTGTTAAAGTACAAAGAGTGTTGTGGTTCCAGCGTGCGACTCTAATCCCTAAGGCCGTAGGTTCGATCCCGGCACCAAAGAAATTTCTTTATATGTGCACATTTGACATTCGCTCGAACGAAGTATGAAGGAAAACATCGTGACGAAACCGGATTGCTTTGACCAAAAAAGTCTACAGCGTGAGTCAGGCACAAGAGGCTGATCACCTACTTGCCTATCAGATTAACAAAATAATGATAATGAAACCGATACAGAAATCTGAGGCCCAGACTTGAAAGGGTTGTAGCGCCACTGAATTATTTATTTTATTTTTACATTGACCAGTGTATGTACGTAAATACCAATTGAAATATGGTCTTGCTTTTTAATAATTAGATAAATCCTTAAGTATCAAAAGCATGTTGCAGTCGCTATTCAAAGATTAGCAACCTCGCCTAGGCGTCAGGCGGCAGGAAAGATTTTCAAAGCGATATCTCGGGGCGGTTTTCTAAACATTTCCAAATATTAGGTAAATATTTGTTATTTTGATACAGCTCCTGACTTCCATCGTCAAAATTTGTAATTATCACGAGAGTTACGGCTTTTCCTTAGCAATCATTTGTCTATTTATATTACTTTTACAACGTCACTCTATATTTACGGGAAAACGTAGTGCTTCTGTGTGAAATCAATTATTGTAAGAAATTAATGATTTAGAAACTAAAAATAAAAACTAAAATAAAAACAACACTTGCTTTTTATTGCTTCACTCTTTATTCATTTATTAATATTTTTGGTTCAATACATATATTGATTTTTAAATGCTTGCTTACTTATTATTATCGGTTTAGTAAAATCTATATTAATTGCGAATGACTGCTGGCATCTCTAAGTAGTCACTGAAGCAAATGCACAGTTTGCCCTTTGATTGCGGGTAAGGTACGATTCCGGGGATAAGGATAGGGGGAGATAGAAATCATACAAAAATTTTGTCTACCTAAAAGAGCCAGAGCTAGTTCGTCTTGTGCTGGTTCCTGAGCATGAGCCTTAGCCTGCTTCTGAGCATGATCCTGGCTCTGAGCATGATCCTGGGGCTGTGCCTGAGTTTTTGGCTGAGCATGATCCTGTGCCAGCGCATGATCTTGAGCCTGAGCCTGATCCTGCGCCTGAGCATGATCCTTGGCCTGAGCATGATTCTAAGCCTGTGCCTGAACCCTCGCCTGAGCATGATTCTGAGCCTGAGCATGATTTTGAGCCTGGGCCCGATCCTGCGCCTGAGCATGATCCCGATTCTGAGCATGATCCTGGGCCTGGGCCTGAGTTCATGCCTGAGCATGATCCTGTGCCAGCGCATGATCCTTGGCCTGAGCCTGATCCTGCACCTGAGCATGATCCTGGGCCTGAGCACGATCCTAAGCCTATGCCTGAGCCTATGCCTGAGCATGATCCTGAGCCTAAGCATGATTGTGATCCTGAACCAGGATCTGAAAAAAGAAACACGTAACTGAATTCGCTAATACGATAAACAATATTTTTTTACAGGTTTCAAACTCGTGTTAACGTTTAAAATCGAAAAAGTTGTATGTTTTTCCACATTTGATAGAAATACTATACTATACTTTATTATTGTCTAGAAATACTTAATATAATAATACTTATATAAGTATATGTTTCATAATTTTTTATACTATTTTAGTGTTTTATTCTATTTTTAGAGCCATTTATTCCTGTGTTTTCTTATTATTTAACATTTCTGTACTGTGTCTCTAACCATGTGCCAAGCTGTTAATCATCTCCCTCATCAAGAGTCTGCTAAACAGTAGTGTATATTTGTGTAAGGATGCTTCTGTCCCTGGATTAGTTAAACTATTGGTTATTCTATTATAAATAAATATACATAAAAAAATCATTTAATTATGTAGGTAACATCATGTACACTTATGATTCGTTAGTAAAGAAATACATATTGTTACGAGCTAGGGGATCGGATAGAAAACGCCGTAGATTTCTTCAAGGGTTTATTTTCAATTAAATCTACGAGGAATTTGTTTACACTAAAAACTGGAAATTACGCACAAAAATTCACTGATTACACAAACACAAAATACTATTACTAATTACTTTAATTACACGCACTTCACACAGTACTTTATCACTTGTCTTCACTATATTCGCACTTTTTCTCTTCGGTGTTTATCTCTTGATATCGCATTCAAAACTGAACTAATCGGTCGCGTTTCGGCTCGCTTATATATCCCTGGGAATAGTCTTGAACGATGTTCGAGAACTCTCTAGGCGGGAGCGCTACTGAGTAGCGATCGCACAATTCTAGAACGTGCGTACTCGCTATCTCTTTCGCACACTGCTCCGTCCTTGTCGTACGGCGTTCTAGAGTGCTCGGTCTAGCTTCGAGAAGGTTCCCATCTTCCCTCTCTCTCTCGTATCATTCCGTCCTTATGCTACACCTAGAAAATTCGGTCTAGAATATTCCTTCATCAAAGGGGTATAACTAGGCCTGAAAAGGTCTGAAAACGGGTTTCCTGAAAAGTGTACCACTCGACTACACTTGTTCTGAAACTACCTGTTTCAGCCTCCTGAAAACTAGGGTAACATTATGTAAATTACGACTTTCTAATATATGATTGACCATCTCCTGAAACGGTCATAAATCATATATTAGCCTGCTGAAAACTTCTCTAACTAGTGGAAAAATCTAAAAACATTGCAGGTGACCCGTCTTCGTAACAATATTAATGCTTCTAATTTTACATATTTTACTGTCAGTTCTCAAATCAAGGGCGT